ATTCGGACGAAACTTGTCAGGGTGGAATCTTAGTGCTGACGTCATGCGGCTGCACGATCTTGGGTCTTCAGCAGCTTTCTGTTGGCTCCTTGGTGAGCTCTATATGAGCTCTATATGTGAAAAGTAACAGTGGTTGTCAATCAACTTGGAAGACTGAGGGCATCTCTTGGTGAAAAAATTCAGAGGAGTACTTGCAGTGGACAGCTGCTCCTCCTTCTTCTTTTTTTTTAATCTATAACAGTGTTTCTTTGGGGGGGGCATAAAAAAAAAAAAAAAAAAAAATGCAAAAAAAAAAGAGAACATCCATTCGGACGAGAAATTCGGACGAAACTTGTCAGGGTGGAATCTTAGTGCTGACGTCATGCGGCTGCACGATCTCGGGTCTTCAGCAGCTTTCTGTTGGCTCCTTGGTGAGCTCTATATGTGAGTAACAGTGGTTGTCAATCAACTTGGAAGACTGAGGGCATCTCTTGGTGAAAAGAGAGTACTGTGGGGACAGCTCCTCCTCCTTTTTTTTATGTTAATCTTTATGTTTCTTTTGGGGGGGGGGGGGCTTTAAAAAAAAAAAAAAAAAAGAACATCAATTCAGAGGAAACTTGTCAGGGTGGAATCTTAGTGCTGACGTCACATCGCTGCACGATCTCGGGTCTTCAGCAGCTTTCTGTTGGCTCCTTGGTGAGCTCTATAGTGAGTAACATATACATACAGACACACACAGAATGTGTGTATATTTTTTTTTTTTTTTTTTAGTATTTATTTCTAAATTAATATTATTGTAAAATGTGTGTGTAGATATATAATATATATAGATATATACACACTGTGTGTATATTATTTTTTTTATTATTTGTGTATGAATTAAATAATTTATAAATAAATATATTAATATTTCTTAGTATTTAATATTAATATTATTGCAACATGTTTGCGTGTGTTATGAGCAGATGGGGGACAGTGTGTGAGCGGGGGAGAGACACAGAGCTTCCCACTACCCACAGAGCCACGTGAAACGAGGTTAGAGCCATGGCTGACAGCTGAGTGAGCAGACCAGACCATATTCCAGAGGGAATTCCAGCTAACATTGAGAGTGTTATCTCTTAAATGCGCATATTGATTGCGCATCTGGTGAGTGCGCAGTCTTTTACCAGTTTGGACACACCATCACCTTTGAATATATTATCAGATTCTAAGGATCCTTGTGATCTTCCATGCACCTACCCCACTGGGATATTGTGGACTATATACTCACATGTATCACTATGTATGATTACACCCTGTTCCAAATTATAATGCAAATGATATTTTCAGCGGCTGTAGTGACTTTTAGCGCTCACTTGCCCACTGCATGCATTGTCTTCCTCGCTCCTGTTGGGGGAGGAGTTATGTGATCTTCAGGCCTAAAATGAATTTTTAAACGTACGCAAAAAATGGCAGTGAAAGGGTTAAAATTCAGATTTTTTTTTTTTTTTTTTTTGGTGCTAAGTAGCTGATTATTTTTTACCTTACTGCAATTAAAAAAAAAAAAATGCGAGCGGCGTTATCAGCTCTGCGCACATCTTAAAAAAAAAAAAAAAACCAATAAAAAGTCAGATGTGTTATTAGGGCCAGCGCATTAATATGGCAGCCGGAGCGGAGATTTCTCCCAGAGCGCACTTAATCACGGAGTAATGACGGGCTGCGCGCGAGTGCGCTCAGAGATAGGTAAAAAGCCGCCGCCATGGCTCGGAACGCGTTTTATTTCCCCCGGCCGCCTCGGAGGAGCCGGAGCGTGATTAAAATGAAAGCCATTTATGCTTTTTTATTTTTTCCTGATGGTCCCCCGGGGGAGGGGGAGGGGATGGCGATGAGCGCATTTAAACGCTTTCATAAAATGACAGGTTTTTTTATTGTGGACGAACTTATTAGTCGAGTGTTCCGGGGAATAATTACAAACATCTTTTTTTTTTGTAACATCTTTTATCTCTTTTTTTTTTTGGCTCTCAGCGTATTGCTAAAAGTCAGCAGGACTGAGTTTATTAGAGGGACGGATTAAAGGGGCCCCAAGGTACGGCACCGGGATCGGGTTATAGGAAAGCTCCGCCTATGCTCATTAAAAAGCCATCCTACTCCAATCAGTGACTTTGTCTAGGACCTAGGCTGAGATGACGTCATCATGTCAGCTGCAGGCAGGAGGAAGCATTTTTTTTCAGTCTCTCTATTGTTCCTTTGATGGATCTATTGTTGCTGTTGGAGGTGCGTATTGCTAAAAGTCAGCAGGACTGAGTTTATTAGAGGGACGGATTAAAGGGGCCCCAAGGTACCGCACCGGGATCGGGTTTTAGGAAAGCTCCGCCTATGCTCATTAAAAAGCCATCCTACTCCAATCAGTGACTTTGTCTAGGACCTAGGCTGAGATGACGTCATCATGTCAGCTGCAGGCAGGAGGAAGCATTTTTTTTTTTCAGTCTCTCTATTGTTCCTTTGATGGATCTATTGTTGCTGTTGGAGGTGAGTATTGCTAAAAGTCAGCAGGACTGAGTTTATTAGAGGGACGGATTAAAGGGGCCCCAAGGTACGGCACCGGGATCGGGTTATAGGAAAGCTCCGCCTATGCTCATTAAAAAGCCATCCTACTCCAATCAGTGACTTTGCCTAGGACCTAGGCTGAGATGACGTCATCATGTCAGCTGCAGGCAGGAGGAAGCATTTTTTTTCAGTCTCTCTATTGTTCCTAGGGTGGATCTATTGCTGCTGTTGGGGGTATTTTGTTGCAAGGGGTCCATTGCTTCTGGCAGCAAGGGATCCATTTTTACTGCTTTTCCTGTTATCGTTAACAAATTCCATACAACAATGTTCCTGGGGTGGATCTATGGTTGCGGTGGGGATATTTTGTTGCTGTGAGGATCTATTGTTCCTGGCTAGTTAGTGATCTATTGCTTCTCGTGGGGTTCTGTTGTTCCTGGGTGGGTCTATTGTTGCTGTGGGGGTAATTTGTTGCAAGGGGTCTATTGCTGCTGCGAGGATCTATTGTTGCTGGCAGCAAGGAATGCATTTTTACAGCTTTTCTTGCTATCATTAACACATTCCATACAACATTGTTCATGGGGTGGATCTATTGTTGATATGGTTGCATTTTGATTCAGGGGGTCTATTGTTTCTGGCTGCAGGGAATCTATTTGATTCCATACAACATTGTTCCTGGGGCAGGTTTTGCTGCTGTCGATCTATTGTTGCTGTGGGAGTATTCTGTTGCAGGAGATCTATTGTTGCGGTGGGGGGTATTTTGTTGCAAAGGGGTCTATTGTTGCGGTGGGGGGTATTTTGTTGCAAGGGGTCTATTGTTGCTGTGAGGATCTATTGTTGCTGGCTGCAGGGGATCCAGTACACAAAAAAAAGAACCGCCCATGCCCTAATGTATACCAAGCCCAATGGTAACCATACACGCTTTGATCTTGTTATCCGATCGATGTGTGTGATTTGGATCAAAACAATCGAATCAGCAAGCAATCAAATGGATTCATCGGTTTTAGATTGGATTCCATCACACTGAACCAATCAGAAAATTGTTGATGGGGTTCAGCATCCATCAGCAGCACTGAGATACTTTGTTCATTCATTCGATCATTAAGTCGATCAATCAGATTATGAGATCGCTTGATGAGAGCAGAGATTCGATCAATAACTTATGATCAGGGGCGGACTGACCATTTGGGTACTCGGGCAGTGCCCGAGGGCCCGGGGTCAGTAGGGGCCCCATGAGATGCCCCTGGTACCTTTCATAGGCTTTTTTGGGTGTGGTTTGAGTGTGAGCGAGGACACAGGGGCCCCATGATCCTCTATTGCCCGCGGGGCCCCATGAGTTGTCAGTCCGCCCCTGCTTATGATCGTATATTCCAAGTATTGATCGAAATGAATTTTCACCGTGTGTGTCATACAGGGGCGGACTGACAACTCATGGGGCCCCCAGGCAATAGGGGATCATGGGGCCCCTGTGTCCTTGCCCAAACTCAAAAAAAGCCTATGAAAAAGGTACCAGGGGCATCTCATGGGGCCCCCTACTGACCCCGGGCCCTCGGGCAGTGCCTGAGTTTCCAAATGGTCAGTCCGCCCCTGGTGTCATATAGATCGATGGGGTTGTTGACTATAGACTGATTATTCCGATTGATCAGAAAATAAATTGATCGTTTATCAAAGTGTTTTGCCAACATTAATAGATTAGAAGGGAAGTCATGTCTGTTCGATCGATCATTTTGATGAGATGATCGATCGAAGATTACCCTCCGTGGGATGAAGAATCAATCCTGATGACAGGTCCACTTTAATACCCATTCATGAGAACATTCACAATTCCTATGAAAAGGCCGTAGTTCCCCCAGGGGCTCACTGACAACTCATGGGGCCCCTCGGGCAATAGGGGATCATGGGGCCCCTGTGTCCTTGCCCAAACTCAAAAAAGCCTATGAAAAAGGTACCAGGGGCATCTCATGGGGCCCCCTACTGACCCCGGGACCTCTGGCAGTGCCCGAGTTTCCAAATGGTCAGTCCGCCCCTGATTAACCCCTTCCTGCCCAGCCTCCTCGCCCACACTTAAACCACACCCAAAAAAGCCTATGAAAGGCAAGCTGGGGGAAGGTCCTGACCAGGGACGGACTGACAACTCATGGGGCCCCCGGCAATAGGGGATCATGGGGCCACTGTGTTCTCACACACACTCAAACCACACCCAAAAAAAAGTACTAAGGGCATCTCGTGGGGCCCCCCCTACTGACCCCGGCCCTTGGGTAGTGCCTGAGTTCCCGAATGGTCAGTCCGCTCCTGAGTTCCCCTTTAAGTGGAAACACGGTCAGCGATTGTTCGACGTTCCATTGACTTGCCAAGAATTTAAAGTGGGCCGGCAGCCAATCAGCTCCGTGTACCGATCGTTGTGCCAGAGGTGAATTCAATGGGAGATATGAATGACTTCGCTGCACCGATCTTCACGCATGAAATAATTCGATCTCTCCTTCTCTATAATCACGCAGGAAGCGGTGAGCAGCGTCACGCTGGCCCTCCGGTCGGACGCGGCTTACGTCGCCCGCGAGATCCAATCTCTGCAGCCAGAAGCTCGGTCCCGGATCATCGATTGGCTGCACGACCACTGCAGGAGCTCTTTAATAGACATGTTCGATGCCGATAGGAATTTTCAGAGCGAACTGGAGATCCACGACCTGGAGCTGATCGCCGCGACATTGGTGGACATGGAAAACGCGCAGGAAAAAATCCATCTCTTACGCATTGATGTGCTCATTGCAAAAGGTAAGGGCAGGTGTGACTACGGGGCGGGGCAAGAATATCGGGGGGGAGGGGCTTAAGGAAATGTCTCTGCTCCCCCTCCCAGCAGTGACGGGCGCACTCATTCGTGAATTAGTAGGCCAGTCTCGTGACTGGTTTTTTTCTTTTTTCCCAATCATCTGGATTCATCATTTATGTGATTTTCCATATCCATTAGGCCCCACTCACACGATTCTGTGTGAGCGATTTTCATGCGATTCCGCGTGCCACGCCCAGGGCAGCCTATTCACTTCAATGAGCTGCTCTAGGTGTGTTTGTCGCCCCAAAAGACGCTCCTCCTCCTTATTGGTTGACAAGCTTCATGTAATTTTTTTTAAAAGTTGCGGTTTGCTGCTATTGAGTCGCGTGATAATCCGGGTAAAATTGCACCTCATTTTTCATGCGATTCCGCGTGCCACGCCTAGGGCAACTTACTCACTTCAATGGGCTGCTCTAGGCGTGTTTGTCGCGCCAAAAGAAGCTCCTCCTCCTTATTAGTTGACAAGCTTCACACATTTTTTTTTTAAAGTTGCGTTTTGCCGCGAATGAGTCGCATGATAATTGCACCTCATTTTTCATGCGATTCCGCGTGCCACGCCTAGGGCAGCCTATTCACTTCAATGGATGAGATTTATCACATTGATAGCGAATCGCAAAAAAAAGGCAAAACTTTGGGGGTTTTTTTGGATACTGTGGCTTGCGAGTTTGTGTGAGCGATTTTCATGCGATTCCACGTGCCACGCCTAGGGCGGCATATTCACTTCAATGGGCTGCTCTAGGCGTGTTTGTCGCCCCAAAGGAAGCTCCTCCTCCTTATTGGTTGACAAGCTTCACGCAATTTTTTAAAAGTTGTGTTTTTCCGCGATTAAGTCGCGTGACAATTTGGGTAAAATCGCACCTAATTTTTCATGCCATTCCATGTGCCACGCCTAGGGCGGCTTACTCACTTCAATGGGCTGCTCTAGGCGTGTTTGTCGCCCCAGAAGAAGCTCCTCCTCCTTATTAGCTGACAAGCTTCACGCAATTTTTTGCGTTTTGCTGCGATTATCATGCGACACAATTGCAGCAAACCGCAACCTCCTTTGGGGTGTAATTTCCAATGAATTTTAGAATTCAGAATGAATGGCACCTGAACGCGCGTTACGCCTTTTGCATCAATTGCCGCGCGCTTGGGAATCGCGCAAGCAGAATTGCGGCAATTCCGTCTGTGGTTCCAAATCGCCAAGTGTGAATGGGGCCTAAAAATCAAATATTGGCAACTGTCCAAAAAAAGATGAAATTTGTCACATTGATAGCGAATTGCAAAAAAAAAGGCAAAACTTTGGGGTTTTTTTTGGATACTGTGGCTTGCGATTTTGTGTGAGCGATTTTCATGCGATTCCATGTGCCACGTCTAGGGCGGCCTATTCATTTCAATGGGCTGCTCTAGGTGTGTTTGCTGCCCCAAAACAAGCTCCTCCTCCTTTTTGGTTGACAAGCTTCACGCAATTTTTTTAAAGTTGCGTTTTGCCCAAAACAAATCGCACGCCAAGTCGCACCCTATTGTATGCCATTAGAGCGGTCATGTTGGTGTGGTTCCGACTTGGTCGGAGCCGCACCGATTTCAAAAGCAGTCCATGTGTTACTTTTGGTGCGATTTGCATAAACATCTGTGTCTGATGTCTTGCAAATCACACCTGAAATCAGCATGTCACCCGACTTTGAAATCCTGCGACTTCACTGTATGTCGCACGATTTGAAAAGTTGGGCTTGATGTGACTGGGGAGTTACGGCCAAGTTCACACTAAATACGTTTCAGTTGCTTTGTTTCCGCATCCAAAACGCACAGAAAGTAGGTGATATGGTGGTCGGTGTCATAGTTCACATCATCGCCTGCAGTTCCAGTGCGTTCCGGGTGCAGAAAAAAAAAAGTAGCACAGGCTGCATTTTTCCTGCACAGAAATGCACAGGAAGGTGGTGAAACGCACCAAAAAAGCACTGGAACATACTGGAACACACCAAAATGCACTGGAACGCACATATCTATATTTAAATTGAAGAAAAAGAGGGGGAAAAATGAACCGGAACGCACCAGTTATGTCAAAAACGCATGAAAAATGCACTGGAACATATTAGAACACACCAAAACGCACCAAAAACGCACTGGAACATACTGGAACACACCAAAATGCACTGGAACGCACATATCTATATTTAAATTGAAGAAAAAGAGGGGGAAAAAAAAATGAACCAGAACGCACCAAAAACGCACTGCAACGCACATTTCTTTATTTAAATTAAAGAAAAAGAGAGGGGGAGAAATTAACCGGAAGACACACCACGATGTGTCAAAAACGCATAAAAAATGCACTGGAACGTACTGGAACACACTAAAGCACGCTTAAAATGCACGGAACGCACATAAATTGAAGAAAAAGAGAGAGGGAAAAAAAAAATTAACTGAAACGCACCAAATTGTGTCAAAAACGCATCAAAAATGTACTGGAACACACTAAAACGCACTAAAAACTCAAAACGCACGGAACGCACATATCTCTATTTAAATTGAGGAAAGAGAAAGGGGGAAAATTGAACCGGAACGCACCAGACATGTCAAAAACGCATAAAAACGCCCTGGAATGCACATCTCTCTATTTAAATTGAGGAAAAAGAGAGGGAAAAATTAACCGGAACATGTAAAAAACGCTTCAAAAACGCACCAGAATGCGTGAAAATGCGCATGCAGACACCCATCCGGAACGCATCTAGACTGAGTTTCTATGGTGGGGGTTTCTCACTCGAGGAGGACGGGAAGCCGGGATCAGAGGCAGAAGATTGGTCACAGGAATAGCCGGGGTCATCAACGGGCGGGAAATGAGGTACCAAATCAGAAGCAGAGCCGAAGTCAGGAACAGAGCCGGGATCAGGAACTGGCAGCCAATCAGAAGCAGAGCCGAAGTCGGGAACAGAGCCGGGATCAGGAACTGGCAGCCAATCAGAAGCAGAGCCGAAGTCAGGGAACAGAGCCGGGATCAGGAACTGGCAGCCAATCAGAAGCAGAGCCGAAGTCGGGAACAGAGCCGGGATCAGGAACTGGAAGCCAATCAGAAGCAGAGCCGAAGTCAGGAACAGAGCCGGGATCAGGAACTGACAGCCAATCAGAAGCAGATCCGAAGTCGGGAACAGAGCCGGGATCAGGAACTGGCAACCAATCAGAAGCAGAGCCGAAGTTGGGAACAGAGCCGGGATCAGGAACTGACAGCAAATCAGAAGCAGAGCCGAAGTCAGGGACAGAGGCGGGATCAGGAACTGACAGCCAATCAGAAGCAGAGCCGAAGTCAGGAACAGAGCCGGGATCAGGAACTGGCAGCCAATCAGAAGCAGAGCCGAAGTCAGGAAACAGAGCCGGGATCAGGAACTGACAGCAAATCAGAAGCAGATCCGAAGTCAGAACAGAGCTGGGATCAGGAACCGGCAGCCAATCAGAAGCAGAGCCGAAGTCAGGAATGGAGCCGGGATCAGGAACCGGCAGCCAATCAGAAGCAGAGCCGGACTCAGGAACAGAGCCGGGATCAGGAAAAGGCAGCCAATCAGAAGCAGATCCGAAGTCAGGAACGGAGCCGGGATCAGGAACTGGCAGCAGCCGATCCGAAGCAGAGCCGAAGTCAGGAACAGAGCCGGGATCAGGAACTGGCAGCCAATCAGAAGCAGAGCCGAAGTCAGAAACAGAGGCGGGATCAGGAACTGGCAGCCAATCAGAAGCAGAGCCGAAGTCAGGAACAGAAGCCGGGATCAGGAACTGGCAGCCAATCAGAAGTAGAATCCAAGATCAGGTCAGGATCAAGCTAGGTCAGCAACTAGCATCCTTAATAGACCGGTGCCAACAGGACGCCCATGTATGTAACACATTCCCACATGCATTCCCGTGCGCATGTGTGCGTCTAGTCACTGTTCAATGGGAAATGTCCCGCACATGAGTATTTTTAGGCGTCTTACAGGAATTCCTGGGAGTCACTAATTTCACTGGTTACCTGCTGAGGATTTGGTTACTTTCTACATACACCCAGGGGCGGACTGACCATTTGGAAACTTGGGCACTGCCCGAGGGCCCGGGGTCAGTAGGGGGCCCCATGAGATGCCCCTGGTACCTTTTTCATAGGTTTTTTTGAGTTTGGGCAAGGACACAGGGGCCCCATGATCCCCTATTGCCCGGGGGCCCCATGAGTTGTCAGTCCGCACCTGCATACACTATATTGGTCGGCCGGCCTTTCCACACACATTGGCCCCCCAGTCTTAGTCTGTAGGGTTCAATATTGAGTTGGCCCCGCCCTTTCCACGCACATGACCTTTAATGGCCCCCCAGTCTTAGTCTGTAGGGTTCAATATTGAGTTGGCCCCGCCCTTTCCACGCACATGACCTTTAATGGCCCCCCAGTCTTAGTCGTAGGGTTCAATATTGAGTTGGCCCCGCCCTTTCCACGCACATGACCTTTAATGGCCTCCCAGTCTTAGTCCGTAGGGTTCAATATTGAGTTGGCCCCGCCCTTTGCAGCTATAACAGCTTCAGCTCTTCTGGGAAGGCCGTCCACAAGGTTTAGGAGGGTGTCTATGGGAAGGTTGGACCATTCTTCCAGAAGCACATTTGTCAGGTCAGGCACTGATGTCGGGGGAGGAGGCCTGGCTCACAGTCTCCGCTCTAATTCATCCCAAAGGTGTTCTATGGGGTTGAGGTCAGGACTCTGCAGGACAGTCAAGTTCCTCCACCCCAAACTGGCTCCTCCATGTCTTTATGGACCTTGCTTTGTGCACTGGTGTGCAGTCATGTTGGAACAGGAAGGGGCCATCCCCAAACTCCTCCCACAAAGTTGGGAGCATGAAATTGTCCAAAATGTTGCCTTAAGAGCTCCCTTCACTGGAACTAGGGGGCCAAGCCCAACCCCTGAAAAACAACCCCACACCATAATCCCCCCCTCCACCAAACTTTACACTTGGCACAATGCAGTCAGGCAAGTACCGTTCTCCTGGCCACCGCCAAACCCAGACACGTCCACCAGATTGCCAGACAGAGAAGCGTGATTGGTCCCTCCAGAGAACACGTCTCCACTACTCTAGAGTCCAGTGGCGGCGTGCTTTACACCACGGCATCCAACGCTTTGCATTGCACTTGGTGATGGAAGGCTTGGATGCAGCTGCTCGGCCATGGAAACCCATTCCATGAAGCTCTCTACACACTGTTGTTGGGCTCATCTGAAGGCCACACCAAGTTTGGAGGTCTTTAGCTATTGACTCTGCAGACAGTTGGCGACTTCTGCGCACTGTGCGCTTCAGCATGCGCTGACCCCGCCCTGTCATGTGACGTGGCCTACCACTTGGTGGCTGAGTGGCTGTTGTTCCCAGTTGCTTCCACTTTGTTATAATCCCACTAACAGTTGAGCGTGGAATATTTAGTAGCCAGGAAATGTCACGGATGGACTTATTGCCCAGGTGGCCACCTATCACGGGACCACGCTTGGAGTCACTGAGCTCCTGAGAGCGACCCATTCTTTCACCAATGTGTGTAGAAGCAGTCTGCATGCCTAGGGGATGATTGTATACACCTGTGTCCATGGAGGGGATTGGAACACCTGAATCACATGACTGGGAGGGGATTGGAGCCCCTGAATCACATGATTGGGAGGGCGGGGCCAATACTTTTGGCAATATAGTGTATATTAGATCAGAAGACCTCCAGTAATAATTAGACTGGTCATGGGTCACGTGTTTTGGCATGTGAGGATGTACAACATACGTGTCACTCAGCATAAAATCACATGACTGTACCCTTGTAGTCGATGCGAACCGCAAGTCACGGCAAATTAGCAGCCGGTCATAACGTATATAAAGGCTTCCCTATACGGAGGCGGACATGTGCCCCCCGAGCAACATCGTAAAAATCCTGTAGAGTGATGGATCTTCAGCCGTAAAACTGGACACCTCCTAAGAGTTCCAGAACCAGCGGGGAGAGTTCAGGGGCGGACTGACCATTCGAGCACTAGGGCACTGCCCAAGGGCCCGGGGTCAGTAGGGGGCCCCATGAAATGCCCCTGGTACCTTTTTCATAGGCTTTTTTGAGTGTGGGCAAGGACACAGGGGCCCCATGATCCCCTATTGCCCGGGGGCCCCATGAGTTGTCAGTCCGCCCCTGGGAGAGTTGAATCCCGCCAGGCAAAAGAGCCGCAAATGGAAGCAAAAAAATGTCCAATGCTCAAAAGAGGACCTGTATAAGTGAGATGTACTTACGTGACGTGGGGCCCCTAGCTAAAATTTAATGGGGACCCCCGACTAACTCTCTTGGGGTGTCATCTGTGACAATATGTGCCTTTCATCTTCACATAAAGGGTTCTATTTATTAAAAAAAAAAAATAGGCTGTTCCCTCTTCTTAGTGAATTATCTTTTATTATGGCCACTAGATGGAGCTGAGGAGCATAGGAAATATATGTCTTTGTAACAAGAGATACAATGTAGCAATTGGAGAGACTGCTGGAGATTTTACAATTTTTTTGCACAGGGTGGATCCGGTTTTTCTCAGTAGGGGGACCTATCCGCGGATCCTCTGCTGTGCTGGGCAGAACAGGCGGGTGACAGGCCCGTGTCCGCTCCATGTATGCAGAGAGGACACTGACTCCTCCCACTCTGCTCTGTGGATGGAAATGGAACCGGCTGTCAACCCTCGCAGGAGGAGAACGGAACCCCTTCCCGATCCGATGGGGGCAACAACAAATGCCCATAGAAGAGAATGGACAGGCAGACCCCCACTCATGTGAAAGGGGCCTAAGGGCCACATCACATGCCATAGGGGCCAAAAAATCAGTTTAATAAATGATTGAATACTTTTTTTTTTTTAATTTTTCAGTCATCTAAATGTGATTCAGGAGAACAGAGAAGGAACTTCAGCCATTAATAAAGAATGAGGAAAAATGACGTCAGTCTGTACCCATCAGAGACCCCTCCCTTACATCAGGGCCCCATCAGAGTCCCTCTTACATCAGAATCCTCCGTTACCTTGAGTGTCCCCATTACAGTCCTCCTTACATCAGATTTCACCCTTACTTCAGGGTTCCCTTCAGAGTCCATATTACATAAGATCCTCCCTTACAGCAGAGTTACTGCTAGAGTCTCCCCTTACCCCAGGATCCCCATCCAAGTCTTCCCTTACTTCAGTGCCCTCATCAGAGCTTCCTGTTACTTTAGGATTCTCATCAGAGTCCCCCTTTATGCCAAGGGCCCCATAACAGTCCCCCGTATTTCAGGTCCCCATCAGAGTCCCCTTCTAATTCCCTTCTTATTTCAGGGTCCCCATCAGAGTTCCCTCCTTACTTCAGGGTCCCAATCAGAGACCCCCCTTACTTCAGGTTCCCCATCAGAGTCCCCTCCTTACTTCAGGTTCCCCATCAGAGTCCCTTCCTTCCTTCAGGGTACCCATCAGAGTTCCCCATTCAGGGTCGCCATCAGAGTCCCCTTCTAATTCCCTTCTTATTTCAGGGTCCCCATCAGAGTCCCCTCCTTACTTCAGGGGCCCCATCAGAGTCCCCCTTTACATCAGGGGCCCCATTAGATCCCCCCTTACATCAGGGGCCCCATCATAGTCCCTTCCTTCAGGGTCCCCATCAGAGTCCCCTCCTTACTTCAGGGTCCCCATCAGAGTCCCCTCCTGACTTCAGGGTCCCCATCAGAGTCCCCTCCTTACTTCAGGGTCCCCATCAGAGTTCCCCATTCAGGGTCGTCAGAGTCCCCCTTCTAATTCCCTTCTTATTTCAGAGTCCCCATCAGAGTCCCCTCCTTACTTCATGGTCCCAATCAAATTCCCCCCCTTACATGAGGGGTCCCATCAGAGTCCTCCCTTACATGAGGGGTCCCATCAGAGTCCTCCCTTACATGAGGGGTCCCATCAGAGTCCTCCCTTACATGAGGGGCCCCATCAGAGTCCCCCCTTACATCAGGGGCCCCATCAGAGTCCCCTCATTACTTCAGAGGCCCCATCAGAGTCCCCTCCTTACTTCAGGGGCCCCATCAGAGTTCCCCCTTCAGGGGCCCCATCAGAGTTCCCCGTTCAGGGTCCCCTTCAGAGTCCCCTTCTAATTCCTTTCCTATTTCAGGGTCCCAATCAAAGTCCCCTCCTTACTTCAGGGGCCCCATCAGAGTCCCCTCCTTACTTCAGGGGCCCTATCACTTCAGAATCCTCCCTTACATGAGGGATCCCATCAGAGTTCCCCCTTACATCAGGGTCCTTTGTTATCTTTAGCATCAGTGTACACCCTTACTTCATGGTCCCCAACAGAGTCCCCCCCCTTACTTCAGGATCCCTTATTTCAGGGTTCTCATCAGGGTCCCCATTACATCTGAGTCTCCACTTACATCAGGGACCCCACCAGAGCCCCCCTTACTGTTACAGAAGTGAAGACCGCGCACTTCAACTGCGGGCCGGATAAAATCTTATAGTGGACCACGTGTGGTCCGTGGGCCATAATTCGGGGACTCCTGGCCATGAGGGGACTGGTATATAAATGTAACCATTTACTTGCTAGTTCTCTCTACCGTCATCCTGAGCGGCTCACAGTGTGCGGTGAAATCATTGGAAGCCTCTTCAGTCCCAGAGAGGAGCCGCTGCCACTGTGCGAGAACGGAGGGGGTGCCGGAGGTTGGATTTCAATCCATTTTCTCTTCTGCTTTCACCCCCAGAGAACCACGAGGAGGCTTTCACCCACCTGAAGAAGTCTTTCACCAACAGCGCCATTGGTGAATCGGCCAAGGGGCGGTATGGAATTCTCCACGTCAAGTGTCGCAACGTCCTCGCAGCCGCCCAGGAACTCTGCACGCTGGCGGGGACCAATCCGACAGAACTGCGGAACCTGGTGAAGTTCCTGGACAAGCGGCAAAGACAAAGCCTGTCACAGGTAATGGCATGGGGGGGGGGGGGACCTAATATTAACCCCAGGGGCGGACTGACAACTCATGGGGCCCCCGGGCAATAGGGGATAATGGGGCCCCTGTGTCCTTGCCCAAACTCAAAAAAGCCTATGAAAAAGGTACCAGGGGCATCTCATGGGGCCCGCTACTGACCCCGGGCCCTCGGGCAGTGCCCGAGTTTCCAAATGGTCAGTCCGCCCCTGATTAACCCCTTCCTGTCCAGCCCCGCCGTCCCCCTCCTATTGATGAAGGATTGGCCGATCACATGACCACGATAGTCGCTCTAGCTCCCAATCATTAGCAGAGACTGAGAGCTGCCATTGACAGCTCGGGTCACCGTGCTGGGATTGGCACAGAAACCTCAGCCCCGCCCCCGTGGACACCTATGTGCGCTGTGTACATTTCCGAAATCTTAGCTCCACTTTTTTATTTAATTTTCCATGGAGCAGAAAAGGGTGCGAGGACCTGAAGACACCAGGAAATTCAATGAACAAATCGGTCATGTGACTCAGCCAAGAACGGTTCTCCATCCATGCATTCGCACAGCGCAGGGGGAGGCAACCTGAGAGCCGCAGGACTACAAGTCCCATCATGCCTCTGCAAGTCATAGCTGTAACTGTCAGTTTTGTCATCTTTGCAATGCCTCATGGGAAATGTAGTTCCACAACAGCTAGAGAGCCGCAGGTTGCCTACCCCTGCAGATAATCCCTGTAATGTGTCCAGTAGGCTCGTTTCCCACGTTCAACAGCCCCATGTAGTGGCCACAATGCGGTATTGTCCCAATTGAGGTTTTTCAGGAAAATGCCACATGATGGCCACTAGATGGAGCCGATGATCACAGGAAATAAACAGACATGATTGGGTCGATCCTGCTGTGGGGATTGTTCACTACAGCTGTGCAAAATTCGCACAGCACATTTTTTGTTATAGACCACACAGGGTGTCAGGGTGGCTTTCACACAGCATTTTTTACTAAGGCTGCATTCACACCTGAGCGTTTTGAAGAGTGAAGCTCAAAAATGATCAGAGGGGGAAAAAAAATCAATATTACTCCATGGAGATGGTTCACATCTTCAAGTCGTCTGAAGCAGAACGCCTGAAGCACAAGAAAGGTTTGGAGCTACTTTTGTAGCTCAATTTGGGCAGATGTGCATGTTTTTGGCACATTTTTAGTTCCCATAGAAAATAATAGAAACGCGCTATTGGTGCGCATTTTGTGCGATTTTCTGCTCAAATGAAAAAAAAAAAAGTAATAGTATATGAATAAATAAATGTAAATAAAATACAATAAATACACATATAAATAAAATAATCATGATAAATAAATCATAAATAAATAATAATTAACCCCTAACCTTAAAAAGATGAAATAAATTATTATTATTATTATTATCATTAATAATAATAATAATAATAATAATAATAAATTATTGGTATTATTACTTTTTTTTAGGTTTTTAGGGGGTTAAGGTTATGGGTTAATTATTATTAATTTACTAATTTACTATTATAAGTATTTATTTATAATTAGTTTTATTTATTTGTGTATTTATTTACATTTTATATTATTATTATTATTATTATTATTAATAATAATAATAATAATAATAATAATTTTTTTTTTTGTTCTGGTTTAGGTGTAGGTGTTTATTTTATTGTTATTGTTATTAGTATATGTTATTATATTAATAGTATACATTTTTTATTATATTTTTTAAGGGGTTAATTATTTTTTATTTATTAATACCTAGTATTTATTTATGATTATTTTTTATTTGTGTATTTAACATTTATTATTATTATTACTATTCTAATTCAGCACAGTGGCTTAGTGGTTAACACTTTTGCCTTGCAGTAATTGGGTCATGGGTTCGATTCCCAACCATGGTGCCTCCTGCATGGAGTTTGCATGTTCTCCCTGTGTTCGTGTGGGTTTCCTCCAAGTGCTCCAGTTTCCTCCCACACTCCAAAGACATGCTGGTAGGTTAATTGGCTCCTGTCTAAATTGTCCTAGTTTCATCCCTGGCCATGTGGGATCTCCTACATGGTGGGGGTTGGTGAAAGACCTGACAACCTACCCTGTAAAATAATTGCTAAGAGAATTCATGGAAAAAGTCGCTTACGAGTGACGGTCCATGCAATCGCCAAGGGTCGGATAACGACTGAATGGATAGATAGATAGATAATTATTATTAATAATGTATTTTTTTGTTATGATTTAGGTGTTTAGATTTAGGTGTTTGTGTTTTATTATTATTATTATTGAGTAATAATAATAATAGTATTTTTATATTATATTTTTAAGGGTTTGGTGTTAATTATTAATTTATTATTATCATTACCCTAACAAAAAAATAAATAAATAATGAGAGAATAATAAGTAAAAAGCTCAAAAACGGCTAAAAAAACACAGTATGAAAAAAATGCTGAAGAATGCTAGGCTCAGATGTGAATGAAGGCTCGGCCCTCCCTGCACCATCATATTATCCTGGTTATTGTTCCTTTGAGGCGAGGATCGCTCCTCCGCTGGTTGCAGGTGAGGCCGGATACGACTAGATGATGAACAGGACATGCCGGCTGTGCGCTGACATTGAAGGATATAGCCCACATTCGGCCTTCATTCCATAACATGTGTGATTTATACAGGAAGGTGTTTTATTACAAGTTGAATTCTTCTGTTTCCAGTCCTCTCAGTCCCGTGTCTGCCTGCGCTCACCGCGCCTCGTAAATCAATGTGCAGCACAGCGAGGCTGGAGATGGAATCCCTTTATTAGAAATACGCGGGGCGTCCTCTGGAAGCGTGACGCAAGCAGGCGCCTGTCCTCACCAGAGTCCTATACTGAGAGACATGGGGGGGGGGGGGGCTGCCATTGCTGAACGCTCATCCGGAAAAAGCTAGTTGCATGGAGGAACATAGCTGGTGTGTGTACCCTGAGATACCCAGCAGCTCCCATTATTATTATTATACAGTATTTATAAAGCGCCAATAGTTCGCTCAGCGCTGTACATTACAAAGGGGGACAGAACATGTGACAGAACAATACCAATACAATGCAAAACATGAGGGGATCGAGGGCCCTGCTCTTTCGAAACTTACAATCTAGGAGGGAGGGGATGGTTGTACAGGAGGAGATAGCTGTGGGGGATGGAGTGGTAGGAAGAGTGGAGGAGGTCGAGAATTAGCAGGGGGTGGGGTAGGGCTTCCCTGAAGAGGTGGGTTTTCTGGGTGCGCCTAAAGGAGAGGAGAGTAGGTGATAGTCTGATGGATTGGGGTAGGGAGTTCCAGAGTATGGGTGACACCCTGGAGAAGTCCTGGAGGCGGGCATGGGAGGAGGAGACCAGGGAACTAGAGAGAAGGAGGTCTTGTGAGGAGCGGAGTGTGCGTGTTGGGCGGTACTTGGATATTAGGTCAGTGATGTAGTTCGGGGCAGTTTGGTGGACGGCTTTGTACGTCAGTGTTAGGATTTTGAATTTGATCCGTTGGGCAATCGGAAGCCAGTGGAGGGATTGGCAGAGGGGGTGGAGGACACTGAGTGGAGGCCTGTGGAGGGATTGGCAGAGGGGGGTGGAGGACACTGAAAGGGGACCAGTGGAGGGATTGGCAGAGGGGGGTGGCGGAGACAGAGCGGTTGGAAAGGTGAATGAGTCTGGCAGCCGTATTCAGGATGGACTGAAGCGGGGATAGCCAGCGGCGAGGCAGGCCAGTGAGGAGGGAGTTGCAGTAATCGAGTCGTGATATGATGAGGGAGTGGATGAGCTGTTTAGTGGTTTCTGGGGTTAGGAACGTGCGGATTTTGGCGATGTTGCGGAGGTGGAGTCTGCACGAGTTTGTTAAAGATTGGACTTGGGGCTGGAAGGATAGGTTGGAGTCCAGAATGACACCAAGTACTCTGGCCTGTGGGGCGGGTTTGATGGTGGCGTTGTTGGATGTGATGGAGAAGTCAATGGGGGGTGGTGTCCGGGCTGGGGGGAAGACAAGAAACTCGGTTTTGGAGAAGTTCAGTTTAAGGAAGTGGAGCGACATCCAGTCTGATATGTCGCTCAGTAGGTGTGTGATTCGGGTGGAGACTGAGGGGGTGAGGTGGGGGGTTGAGAGATTGATTTGTGTGTCGTCGGCATAGAGGTGGTAGTTGAAGCCGTGAGAGTGTATGAGTTGGCCAAGGGAGGAGGAGTAGATGGAGTATAGAAGGGGCCCGAGGATGGAGCCCTGAGGGACCCCAACAGAGAGGGTGAGTGAGGGGGAGGTGGTAGCGTTATAGGTAACGCTGAAGGAGCGTTGTGACAGGTAGGATGAGAGCCAGGAGAGAGCGGAATCTCTGAGGCCGAGGGAGTGCAGTTTATTAAGGAGGAGAGGGGGTGGTCGACTGTGTTGAAGGCCGCGGAGAGGTCAAGGAGTAGAAGCACTGAATAGTGACCGTTAGCTTTGGCGGTTAGCAGGTCGTTGGAGAGTTTGAGTAAGGTGGTTTCGGTGGAGTGTAGGGGACAGAAGCCAGACTGTAGCGGGTCGAGGAGGTTGTTGTCGTTGAGGTGAGAGCTTAGGCGATTGTAGACTAGGCGCTTGAGGAGTTTGGATGTGAATGGGAGCAGGGAGATGGGTCTGATAGATAGATCTATTTCTTTCTATATATAGATGTTGCTTGGCGCCATTTTTTTTTTCCCAGTGGAAACGCGTGGGGAACACAGTTGTGGCACCTACAGCACTGAATGTATGTAATGGCAAGTGGTTCTGGCATGTGCTGGAGGGTCTATTGATGCTGGCTGCTAGGGGATCTGTTGTCACAGGGGGATCATTTCTTTGTTGGGTTTTTTTTTTTTTTGGGGGGGGGGGGGGGTATTGTTTCTGGGGAAGTCTATTTTTGCTGGTGGGAATCTGTTGTTGCTGGGAGGGATCTACTGTTGAGGAAGGGTCCTATTGATGCTGACCACTGAAGGGTCTATTGATGCTGTCTGCTGAGAGATCTGCTGTTGCTGGTGGGTATCTATTGTTGCTGGGGTGGATCTATTGTTGCTGGAAGGGGTATCTTGTTGCAATGGTATATTGTTGCTGGGGATTCTATTGTTGCTG